GGGTTTTCTTGCTTCTGTTTAAATGAGGTTATGCATAAGTGGCAGTTAAGAAGCATGATGATAGATGTGACTGCTAACTAGTTCCTAGCAGATAGGTTTGTTGTTATTGTGTTGCCGTTTCTGTTCTCTGTGCAGTCGAGGATAAACGGTGTGTGGTTGCCTTCGTAGCTGGATGCCTGTGTGATAAATCATGACTGATTTTAGGTTTACATAACCAGTCTGTTATAAACTGCATTTAAGTACAGCTCTGGTGTATCCTTTAAGTTGGTGATGCAAGTTAGTTTCTAATTAGTTTGCATTATTATGCTTTGTCCACAGAAGCCACACACCAATATGGCACAACAAACCATATCATGGAGCACAAAGACGCCATAGCATGTCTTGTCATGCAGTCTTTGGACCAAGTTCTTCGTTCCTGTGTGCATTTGCAAACAATGTTCAGGCTTTTAGAGGTGTGTGTGTGTGTGTGTGTGTGTGTGTGTGCGCGCACTGTACATAAATATCTGGTTTAATAATTTCTACTTTGACTACAACCCATGCCCACTAGTTTGTTTGGTCTTTTTCTGTGAAATCCAAAGAAGAAAGTGGATCTTTTTTTTATTTATTTTCCAGGGTAAACATTTCAGCTATGCATGTTTAAAAATATCCCCTTGCAATAAATTAAGTTTATCTCACTTTTTTCCCCCAACTGCTTTAGATAAAAAATGCTAATTAAGAGCATGATCAAAGGCCTAAAATCCATTAAGTTTACATCAGCAAATTTTACTTTCATAAGCTCAAAAACAACATTACAGAAAAGTAGCAGCCAGCCAGACTAGTACACTTACACACACACACACTAAAATACTGTCTTAATAAGATGAAAATCCATTCCAGACAGAGGATGAGATGTCGGAGGCCTCCTTGCAGCCGTCCGAATGATCTAAGACACAAATGACTCAACATGAGTAGACATTTTGATTTTTCACACTTGTGAGCCAGCAAACACTTTGGCTGACTGGCTCACGACTGTGGCCTCACTCTCTCCAAGTGTATAATCAGTCACATTAATGAGAGTTGTAATGCGATGCACAAGAATTAGTACGGGTCCTGGGGGTTGAGTCTCAGGAGGGGTTTTGGAAGACAAACAAGTTGCCTTGGCCATGAACTCGCCGAGCTTTGAAAAACGGCACCAAGCTGTCGAAATTGTGGCGTTATTAATAAAATATCCCAATGCATGCACACTCTAAATAGCAATAATTCACTGCTGAAAGTGCTCTGGCAAAATCAATAGTGTACTCTTGTTAATAATACTGATGCAAGCTGAATGAACAGAGCCCTGGGACTCACCTACCCACAGACAGGCACTTGGCCAAAAGAGAGCATGTTCGCCAAACCAACTCCGATTCCTGTTCCTGTAAAGTAGGAGCTGGAGTTGTGTTCATGGACACAAATTCTATAACTAGCTTCCCATGAGAGTCCACATCCCCTGGCGCACAGATGAAAGAGGACCAAGTTCGCCAAAACAAAGCATCAGTTCACAGGGAATGTCCTGCTCTGAGATTAATCTCTTCATCCGCCAAAACAGACATTTCTAAACCTTTAGTCAAACTAAACATCAGCTCCTCATTTAACACAAGTTGTTTGCTGAGCTAATTTTCAAGACTGTGTGTGTGTGTGTACAAGTGATGGAGCACAATTATGTCTGGGCATGTTCAACATTGTCTCTGTTGTTCTCATTATTTCTTTCCAGCTCTTCATTAGATTCTGCAAGGGCAGTAATATTTCACACCAGGGCATGGTGGGGCGTTGGCTGTAGGGTTTATACATCTGTACTTCTTGGAGAGGAGTGAGATGACCATCATCAGTTCATTATTTTCCAAGCTGAAATTGTGAAACATTTGCTAGGGTTTTTCTTGTGTGTGTTTTTTATTTTCAGGGGTGAGGGGAGTGATGGACTCTAACTTGGGACTAATATGTTTGCATACAGAACATGCTTTCTATGAATGGTCAGTGGTGCAATAGTCTACATTTCTATTGCGTTATATCAAGTTTTCAGAACTCCAAGGAGCTTTACTCTACATTCATATACACAGTCACACACTGATGGTGGTAACTAACTAACACTGGAGCCACAGCTGCCCTGAGGAAGACAGACAGAAGCAAAGCTGTCATGCAGTCGGTGCCACCGGGCCTTCTGACCATCCCCAGTAGGAAAGACGCCTGAAGTGAATCTTAAATCTTTTTGGCAACTTGTCAGCTTCACCTGAATGAAGCCTACAATCGCTTGGTTGGTTGGATATTTTGATCAGGAGAGGGTTAGATAAAGTTCTCAATGAGTTCAAACTTTTGCACCCCAGACTTGTTTTTACGAACACTCACTTTAAATTATAATTCTACCTTGGGGAAAAAAGGGTTAGGGTAAATAAATAACTGAAAGCCCAAAATTAATATGACATCAGCATCAAATGTAAAAACTTGAGAACACAACTGTATCAAGAACATAAGCTTTTTAGCCAACTTGCTTTTAAGGATGTTTTATCATATTAATATGGCAACAGAAAAAAAAGTGGCATGTCTCAATACTTTTTCAGCTTTTAAAGCTTTTCAGCACTTAGTAGGAACCCTGGAACCACTTCATATCAGATCCACTTTACTTGAATAAAGACTTCCTAGATGAACATACTCCACAACCCTCTCCCTCCGCCCTCCCCCCCACACACACAGACTCTCCACTAATTTTCCTATCTGTTCTGTAAGCCTTGTTCAGCTGTAATTTTGCTCCTGTGTGCTAGCCTCAAGAGAAAGAAACTAATTTTCGGGAGTGAAAGGGGATTATCAGATGCAAACCAAATCTCTCCACCTCCAGACAAAGATACTCGCACAGACTTTTCTGCTGGAACAAAACGCGTCTCAGGATTTGCGTTAGCTTGTATGTACGGCAGCTCTCAAGGAGGAATCTCGTCAGCTGCGGCGCTTGCAGTTTCTCCTTATCAGTGCGAGAGAAAAAAGTTCACAATAGCAAAAAAAAAAAGAGACAAAAAAATGCTGAGCTGGTGGCTCGGAAAGCAGAGGGGGAAGTGACAGCAGACAATATAATCACATTTACCTCATTATGTGGTCTGAATTTTGTGTGCCGTGTCAAATAAGTGAATAGGAAGTGATGCGGTCAGATGGAATCCTTGTGTGTTTGTACCTCAACAAACACTGGGATATTTTTTATCAGTAAACCAGTAAAGCCTCATCAACAAAGAAGAGCCAACACATAAAAGTATCCCACTCAGGGTGGCTCTTTTTATGGTGACATTTTTACAAATAAAGTGGAGTGAGAGGGAGAATGGAGTTGAATGCATGGAAAAAAGAAACGGAAGTGCAACAAAGCACGGAAACTGAACAAAACAGGTCAAATGTGTCAGAAATCAATCAAGTATATCCCATCACTGCAGGTTAACGTCACATTTAGCTCCAATAGACCTTAAAGGTTTTCTCCATGTCATATTCAACATACTGATGGCAGTGTTTTCAAACTTTCAGATTTCTAGACTTCTCAATGCTAGCACAGAATCTACGCACACAATTCCAAAAGTAGAATAAAAAGTATATAAAATTTCATTTCAAGTTTGATGCAAACCATTTGGACAAATCGGTGAAGTGCTGGGAAGACAGCTGAACTGACTTTGACCTCTTTGCATGTAAATTATTACCACTCACAAAACCCCGTACCAACACTAACGTTTTAAGCTTTGTGACATTGTGCTTGTTTTTTGTTTTGTTTTGTTTTGGGTTTTTTTATCCAGTTAATTTTAACTCCATTTATCGACTCATTTGAGTTTGACTCTTAGGATGTGTGAATCGCTTAGGCTATAATTAATATGTGGTGTGAATTTCACGTCAACAGCCCCGCTGGAAATATGTTTGCTGATAAAAATGTTGACATTTTCCGTACTTATTTTCCCTGCTGCATCCTCGCATACAAGCAGGGCCACATACACACGGGCTGACACACAAACCCCCTACTGCACAAGCCAAAGAAACCATAGAGACGGGCCCAGAAAACAAAGAAAAGGAGCGGAAGGAAGATGAAAAGTGTCTATGTTTGGAGCCAGCTGGGAAAAGATAACAGTAAATTAGAAATTGGATTAAGATTAAAAAAAGAAAACAAATTAACAACATCCAATTTAGAGGCAGCAATAAGTACATAAATAGAGAGATTCATAAAAAGCCTTAAAGAAAATGATTTCTGTCATGCATTCTCTGCTTTGGCATACTTAATCTTTGTTGATCCATCTTGCTGCACCTGTCAAAGTCGAATTTAATGATTGAACAAGCAGATATGTGAGCAGATAGGAGAAGCTGCCAAGGAAACTGACGTAATTGGTCCAGATGTGTTGAAAATCTTATCTTATGAAAGGGGGATAAAAATCTGAGCTAAGGAGCAAACAGCAGAGCCCCCAAAGCTTTACTTCCATTATATACTGAGCCCGAAGCTGTCCTATTACAACCTAAGCCCGGTGCAGCTTCAAAGCCACTTCATAGTGTCTGTTAATGGCGCTGATGACAGCAGAGAGGATTTCTGCGCCAGGTAGAATGACACAAGTCAAAGCAGCAAAAAGGAGGCGTTGTGTGGTAAACAAGTGGAGAAACTCAAAAAAAAATTTTCATTTTTAACATTAGGCTTGAGCGCTTTAAGTCATTCTGTCACTAAACACAGAGCTTGCCCTTCTCATGGGTATGCACAATGAAAAACACAGAGTTATTGATAAAATAAATAAATTAGGAAGCAAAAAAAAAAAAAAAAAACTTTCAATTCTTGTTGGAAGCATGCAGGGAAGGGAAGGGGGCAGACATGAAAGGTTACTCTTTGAATGCATGTTTCACAATGCTTTGAATTATTCCGACTCCTGGTCTCTTGCTGTTACAGCAAACAACAAGGCTTTCATGTTTTTCTCCGACATGCAAGAGGAAAAGCTCACCAAGTCAATTCATCTCTGCTGTTGCCTCACTCCTAATGGTTCATGGCACATGAGACCACTCAAGTGCCAGGTTCAGACATTTTCTGTCTTGTGTAGTCCTCCGGCTTAAACTCCGGTGAGCAATCTTCTCAGTGGTGCTCGCTGCTGCCACAGAATCACAAAGCCAGGGCAGAGCGTGGCTGCTTTTGAAAGGACAAGAGACAGAACAAGCAAATCTATTTATAAGAAGCAAGCGGGATAATTGTTGAAAAGGTTAGCGCAGCCAGAGCAGGTAACAAGTGAGCCGCGTGTTGATGCGCACAACAGGATGAGGAGGCGATGCTGCCGACAGGAAAAGTCACGGTCAGAGGGAGCGCCGTTTGAATCCGATGTCAGTAAGCTACAAAAGAAGCAGACGCCAGCCGTGTTTAGGCGTCAACAAAGACTTCACAAACTATAACAGCACAGATCCACAGACTATACAGAATCAAACACAACAAAGAAGCAACAACACTTTTTTATGTCATATTTTTGAACACAAACCATTTAAGGCAACGTCACGCCAGACTAAGGTCATCCACAGACATGTAAACTGAGAGGTTTTCAAAATAGTTCCTCCAGTTTATTTATGTATACCCACACAATTTCCCACACAAGCGGAGACAGACTCACACAGCCTGAAAAAAGAATCCACCAGAGCAGAAAGATCGAACTTTGTTTTTTTTTTTGTTTGTTTGTTTTGTTTTTTACAAATGTACAACAGAAATATTGAGTGGCAAAGCAGACCTGACAGACATGCTCATTTTAGCACCTGGGAAATATTGCAATCTTTTAAACATTTCTGAATGTTTTCACATTAAAACCCACAAAGTAGAATGTATTTTATTGAGGGTTTTTTTTCCTTTAAAGACCAAGAAAAAGTCGTGTGTAATTATTTAATCTGTGAAAACTTGTTTTAAAACTTATGACCAAAAGACCGAAAAACACGACATCCAAAAGTACCTAGTCATCTCCATGGATACTGTGGAAAACTCTTTATGAGTATATTTCTATAAGCGTCTCAAACCAAAAAACATTTCAAATCCAATCAAATTAAATCCAATCCGTTCCTCGACCCTTAATGAAGATGTTTGTTCACCAATATTCTCTAACAAACTTCTCAAGATTGCTGGTTTTTATTAGGGGGTATCAGGCTGAAGGGGGCTAATTATAAATGCAAAACATACTTTGGATTTTTATTTGCTAATCATTTTCTCCTGGAATAATGTATTTTTATGTTCAGTAAATCCTAAGAAAAGTCATTTAATTGAAAGTATTTAAAGGTATAACACTTTGAAAACTAAACATAAAACGAATCGCGCACGGAACCATTTGTACAAGAGTAAATGTGCATCACAAAATGGTTGAGACAAAAGCTCTAAAAGATCTTGCAAGATAAAAAGCCCTGGGAACTTTTGCTCACGACCACTTTAGAAGATTACAAGAAAGTCTGGCTCCTTTGAAGCAAAAGCAAACTGAAACGAGGGGTGGCTGAGAATTCAGCAGCTTACTGTAAATAAAGATTCCATCTGCGAGTGTGGAAGTGAATGTTTCCTTTACATTCCACATTTCAAGCCCTTCATTTGCTCCAATGCCGTTACCCTCCAGAGATATCATGCCCCACAGTGTCCCCTCGTGCCTGCCTTGCTCAGCTACCAGAGAAGCCAGTCAAGCCGAGAGACTCAGAGAAGCGATGCATCACTTGATGACATGGGCTGATAGATGCCTGACAGACTGCCAAACCCGTCGACGTGCTACATGAGTCAAGAACAAACACTCCTCCGACGTGTGTAGATGTGCTTTTGCACATGTATCCATCATCGCCATGTAGGAGGTGTGTGTATGTGGATGTGTTTTTAAAAGCTGGCCTGGGTGAGAGAAACCATGCAAACTGTCCGTCTCAGCTGATGGAGGAACGAAGGGGGCCAAGTCCAGACCCAAGGCTCCGAGAATGAGGAAAGTAGAAATGGAAATTAAGTTCGCCTGACTCAGGGAAAATCAAAAATAATCATAAATCAATGTGTGTACATGGAGCAGTAGAACCAGATATTTACATACATTTCATAAAAACTCACATAATCTTTTTTTTCCCCCCCTCACCATCTCACATGAAAACAGACTAAGCTTCCCGTTTTAGGTCAATTAGGATTGTCGAGATTATTTTAATTGGCAAAATTTCTAAATAATGATAATATGGAAATATA